GACATCTATTCTTTCTCCAGTTCAATACGTCATCAGTCTGAGTATTTTTTTTCATCATGTCTCTCAGTTGGGCTCAGCCGACTCCCATCTGGCTCCATGTTATGGAACAGGAAGCCTAACTCTTACTCATCTCTCCTTCTCCCACTGCACAGACGGTTCATTCTCTTCTGAGAATGTGGGTATCATTCGAATCCTTCATACCTTTGGGATGAGAGCACAAGAGATCCTTTTAATGGTCTTTATGTGACTAAGGGAACATAAACATTGATTCACTGATTCCCCAGTTTCCTTAGGCAGGATCATTCTTTGAACTCGAGGGGTTGTGAAGTCAGGACACTACTACGATATGGGTGCCTCTGCTGCCACCTCATCCAGAGTTCCATCTCTTCACAAATGCCTTGCTTAAGGGATGGGATACGCATACCAACAGTCAGGAATTCCAGGGTCTATGCACAGAAAACGAGACTTTCCTACATAATGTTTTAGTTTACGATATGGGTGCCTCTGCTGCCACCTCATCCAGAGTTCCATCTCTTCACAAATGCCTTGCTTAAGGGATGGGGTACGCATACCAACAGTCAGGAATTCCAGGGTCTATGCACAGAAAACGAGACTTTCCTACATAATGTTTTAGTTCTTCTAGCTCTTCAAAAGGAAATGCCTCGTAGTCTGAGCTTATTAAGAGGACATTTGTCAGGCTTCACTCTGACAATTTCATGGTGGTTTCTTATGTTTCTCATTGAGGAGGCATGTGGTCCAGGGCTCCTTATTTTCGAATTTTGGACCTCCTTTCTCAGGATCACTCCTATCATATCATCCTACAAGCTTGCCATGTTCTACAGGTGATGAATGTGGTAGCAGATAAATTGTCTCAACCTAAACAGATTCTCCAAACAGAATAGATGCTGCATCGCAAGGTTCTGAAGCTAACAACTAGTATGTGTTCTGTGAGGTATACTCTATTATTTCTTTAACAGTATTGATTAAAATGTTTAATTAATCTAATTTTATTGTTTTGCTATTATTCTTTTATTATAGGGATTATTGTGTAATTTTATCTTAGTATATGGATTTAGGACCTACCTAAATCTCCTTAGTTAGCTGGACATCCATAGACATTACTGAATTTACAGCCAAAAATATCATTAGCAGCGAGGGTACCCAATTGATGAAACAATGCATTCTAGTCTTAATAAGTAAGAACGCTATAAAAGTATATTTAACTAGCTATACTTATTACATGCTTGATTTTTAGTTTTGTTCTAAACTGATAGTTCCCTTTAGTCAGAAGTTAATATTAATTTGTATGAGAGTAAATATCAAGCAAAATATGTCTGACTATAAGAACATATCTCCAAAAAATATGGTCTTGATATGAGAGTAAATCTCAAACAAGGTTGATCCCAGTGTGAGAGCTTGAGTTGTAACTTGCTAACCCACATGGACAAATATTCAACCATCAGCTAGAGTGTTAAAATCATGGTCACTAAGCTCGTGAGCAGAGTAATTTGGGTTAATGATCTTATTAACCCCACTGAAGAACAAAGTTGGTCAGGGTTATGTCATAACATGGCAGCTTCAGCCATTTTTTGTTGTGTTCCATGCAGGAGTTTTACAACTATTGAAAGACATTAACAATTTACAATGTATGAAAACATTAAAAATGTGAAAACTGATAAAATTTTAAAACAAAACTAAGAAAGACTTCATATTATTGAATTATGTAATAGTGATCAATTCAACCATTTTCTTTATATGCAAAAAATTAGCAAAAACTGGTACAGATTTAATGAAAATTTTAAGTCAACAATTTAAAATAATGCACTGCCAAGTTATCTGGGATTTCTAGTTTACGTAAACATAAGAGATTTAGTAAAAAAAAGAATAAACATTTGCTTGTAATCATATGGCACAATATTGTCCTGAAGTACCAAACCACCTCACTCATTGGATGAGCTTCTCCTGTAACAGTGCATGATATGTATACTCAGCGCTTGAAATGCCAAAAAGAAAATAACTGTTGCTCATAAAAGTGGGATGAAAGGGGCATAGAAATAGTGGCAGTGCACTTAGATGCATATTTCTGACTATGATGTGAAGTACCGACATGCAACTCTTTGGAATATAGAAGTGCCAGTAATGCAGATCAACCTATTGTGTATATGCATGTATGTAATGTTTGCAGTGATTATTTTTGGCTGCTTACTTATGTTTGGTATATTTAATAGGTAAAAGTATTTTTAACTTGTCTGTACTGTTATATATTTTAAACAATGAAGGTTTACACAGGGGTGTGCAACTTTGAAAAAAATCTTGTACAAAGTATAAAATGCTAGAAAAATCTACTTATTTTTCTTTAAAATGTGCTTGCCTGTTTCCTTACACCTTTATTTATTCTTTAGACAGTACATGTAATTTATATGTTACATACCATGCTATTTAGGTAGAGGATTTACTTTAAAAAAATGATGTGATGAAGTGTTTTTGTGGTTCATATATACAATATATTCAGTGGTCCACGTTGACGTAGAAATCTGTTTTATTTAAGCAGCAAATTTTAATAAAACGCAAGAAAAATAACAGCACTGCATTTATAAAATATAACTCTTACAAGATCTATTAGTTTAAATTATCAATTGTTGTTGGGGTTTTTTTCACGTAACACAACGTGAAAAACGTTCCACTGCTCCGAGCATCCTTTTAAGAAAAAAGAAAAGAAAGACCCCGGATGCACATACTTAAAAGCCATGAGAGTTTAGTAAAAAATAAACAAATTAGCCTTTTGTTTGACTTATTTCCCACTTAAGGATTTAAACAATGTTGTCACCAAAATAAAACTAATGTTATCTATAAGACTAGATTTTCTTATTAATCATTCCCTATTGGGTTTCAAACTTTGTAAGGTAAAGCTATAATAAAACTTTTATATCACGGAATATACTAACGTTATTTTAACTTTGACAACAATATAGTAGACATTGATTAATCTTTTACAGTAATATTCAGTTTTTGTAATTTGTATACCCTGAAAATGCGCTTGCGCGCGCTTTTGTAAATAAAAGGCGGATTTATAATAACATTTTAAAAGCCTATCAGAGCTTTTAAAAAGGCCTAAAGTTGGGTCGGAGAATAACATTATAAGTTTATTTATTGATGCTATTAAATACAGTAAAGTTTAGCTCTAACTAAACTAAAGCAAAGAAACTCTAATAAATAAATAAATAATAAATAAAATGAGTTATGATTATTTGTTTTCCTTGAATGGTTACAAAGCATATGAGCAACTGCATAGTTATAGGTAAATATTGTTGCGTATCAGCTCGTTTGTTAATTTCCGGTATAAATTCTTTCCGAGGAACTTCAGCGATACAAGTCCTTTCTTAAGTAAAACTAGAATATCTTGATACAACATTTTAGTACACAGACATTCCACAGTCGCTTTAAACTTAACAACATTTATAACATGCTATAAATCAGTGATTCACTCTCTTTACTTACGGTGCCTACTGTTCGCTTGACTCAATTATCTATCTCTTCAATCTATCTGCATATCTATCTATCGCTGGCTTTATTTGCCGGGCTTACATATTAAAAAAGAGGGCGCCTGGCAAACACTCGGATATTCGCGGAGTTCCTCGATAAGTCATGATCCTTCTAGAAACTCCAGCACGTATGCTCTCAGCGTCGCGTAACTTACGCTGTCGTAACAATATCTAAGGCACCAATGGCTTTAACGGCGTTTGGTTGTTGTATTCGACCTGAGAGGTTGTGTTAATGTATCTCTATCGAATATGAGCAGTACTTAATAATAAAGAGTTAACTTATGTAAGGTCTAAGACAAGTGGACTTGTAGATTTCGGTGTAAAAACGTATAATAGCGCCCTAAAGTTAACGGAAACTAATAACATGCTAAAATATTTTTAATTTATAAATGTGTAACTTTCAGCTGAATTAAACAGCAAAAATAGATTAAGAGACAATCATAACACATAATACGTTTTCATATAAAAGATACTGAAAATCTGATTACAGTATTACACAGCTAACTTTTGAAAAATGAACGTGTATCATACCATTATTGTAAAAACTTTAAATTGACTAGCGTGGAGAAGTTAAATAGTAATGTTTAACATAACAGTAGTAAATCATCTGAATGTAGTTTATTCGTATTTATTTCCTAGTAAAAAAGTTATCATTATCAAAAGTTTTGACAAAATTAATTGACATTATTCTAATTTTTTTAACATTGTTTAACTTTAAACTTAGATTGGTTGAAGAATATCCAAAATACTAGATTTTTACTTTGGTTAAGTACATGTTTGCATAATAAATGAAATGAGTTAGATTATTTGTTTTCCTTGATTGGTTACAGGTAAATATCTAAGGCACCAACAGCTTTTGGTTGTTGTATGCGACCTGAGAGGTTGTGAACGTGTAAAACAATTTTGAAATGTGAGCAATAGAAACGCCTGAAAAGGTGTATACATTATTGTTGCAACAGGCACTCAGTAAGTGAATAAGTTTTACACTTTTTCTAATCATTCAACAATCCACGATCCTCTGATGGTTTGGGTCAGAATATTCAAGGTTCAAGTTCACAATATGCCATTGAACTCGCTCCACATATTCAGTTGAGGGCGAATAATGAAACTGACATTCAGTCTCACTATGTGATTAAAAGTAATTGCCATAGTAACAGTTTTATTAGATAGGAATTGAAGTTTAATTACCAAAAATAGTACGATGGCAACAACACTGAACACTTCACACATGTGAAACGGTAACAAACATGAAACTTTTGAACATTCAGGAATATACATTTTCCATCTACAGCCTAGAATCACATATTAAACTAATAATGTACAATAAAACAAAACTTCATTCTGAATAACTAATAGTTCTGATCTTATTACTTTTCGCTATACAGTTGGTTGATTACAACAGTGTAGATAAAAGTTTTCTTCTTTTTTCCTTCTTTCTTTCTTTTTTTTTTGGTAAAGATCATGTTAGCCCACTGTACAGCTTACATGTCTAGAGCAGCAAAATCCAGGGAGGTGTACAGTGCTTACTGCAAAGCTGAGGAATGTGTCCGTGAACATCAAGGACCTTTGCCTCCTGTACCCATTTATTTGAGAAACGCTCCCACGAAGTTGATGAAAGAGATGGGATACGGTAAACGATGTGGCGATACACTTCCTTTTTTACCAGAGGGGTTAGAAGGAGTGAATTTCTTTCAATAAAAAAACTTAACTTACATTTGTATAAAAGAAAGGTTTTGTTCTGTGTATCTTCTCTATTATTATTCTTTTTTAATGTATATATGTCACAAAACAGTAGTCCAATTTATATTGAGAACAATAAATGTTATGAAATTTTGTTGTTGTTCTTCATCACTAACTATAAAAGGCCTATTCTCTTTGTCACTCTGTCGAGAACGCTTTCACACTCCTTTTTTTGGTAATGCTCTACAAATATACATCGTCACTTAGCAACAAAACTATCAACTGACTGTTCTTCGGCCAACTATGGTGTATAATTATTGTTGTATTCATTTGAACAATATTATCCCATGCATGTGTTCATTCATTTTCTAACATTGTTGCCTGTATTTTTGTTCTACATTTCTATTTTTTATTTAGTTTATTTGTACAATTTTTTATACTTTTATTATTTTTTATTGTTACTTCCCTTAGCTCATTTGTAGCTTCAGGAACATGTTTTCGACCCACGTGTTACTTGTTCTTTCAACTTAACCCTTATATTAACATTAGAGGGTTTTAAGCCCTTCTCCTTTCAATTTTACCTTTGGTGAAATTGGAAGAGAAATCTGTAACATATATTGTAATCTTTATATTAACAGTTTCATTGTCACTGGTAACCTGATGAAGGGTTGTTGCCCGAAACGTCGTTTTCTTGTTTTATTAATAGTCATTTTAATTTGACCAGTTTTTCACCACAACTTTATATATCCTATTGTGCTCAATATTCATGTTGATTTGGAAGAAAGGTTTGTTTTATTCTTTATTTTTGTATACCTACGGTGATGTAACAGCAAAATGATTTAATTCAGAAGTTGTATGACATTGAGTTGTAGACAAAAGCAAAATAAAATTTACAAAGTAGTGTTTCAGCTAAGCCTTACGTTACGTTCATGTATTAGGCCTAATGTTTAAATTAAGACTACAAATAGGCTTGCTATTACTAATGTTATAGAGGTAGTGTTTAAAAAGTTTAAATGGTGGATAAATGTTGATTAATAACTATTCTTTTAGTATTTTAACACATATATTACACACTTGGCCTTAAAACATGAAGCAGTGCCATAAAATATGAATTAAAAAATTAAATATTGATGAAACAGTAATCAAGTGGATATCAAACTTTTTAACCGATAGATCAGCTGAAGATAAAGTAAACGACACGCTATCCAAATCATTCAGTATCAGGACAGGAGTGCCGCAAGGATCCGTCCTTTCGCTTCTCCTACACATATCATTTGTTAACGACATCCCGTTTTCCGAATTAAATTATACATAGTGTTACAACAGCGGAAGTCACGTGACTCTGGGAGCATTCGCGCTGAAATTTCTCGAATGATCATCAAGGCCCGAGTGCATTCGAGACGCCCTCTTTTTAGTATATAAGCCTGTCGAGAAAAACCAGCGAGATTTAAAGAGATAAATAATTGAGTCAGGCGAACAGTAGGCACCGTAAGTAAAGTGTGTGAATCACTGTGTTTTATAGCGTGTGTTATAAAAGTTGTAAAGTTTAAAGTGACTGTGGAAATTCGAGAAAGATAAACTGGTTTAATCAAGAAAAGACTTGTATCACTGAAGTTCCTCGGAAAGAATATCTATCGGAAATTATCAAACAAGCAGATATGCAACAAATGAGTGTCAGAAGTGGGGTGAAAACGAACATGTGGTGGCCTACTTCAGTAGGGTCCTGAGTAGACCAGAGTGGAACTACTGTGTAACACAGATTAAACTCCTTGCTATAGTAAAGAGTCTGACATATTTCCATCCTTACCTCTATGGTGCAAGGTTTACCATTAGGACAGACCATGCTGCATTACTCTGATTAAGATCATTAAAGAACCCTGAGGGACAATTAGCACGTTGGATTGGAAAAATAGAGAAGTATAATTATAGTATTGAATATAGAGAAGGAAAAT